TTTTTTTTTTTTTGTAAATAAAAAATCTTTTTTGAGAAAAAAATCTTTGAAAAAATATATAAATATATTAATGTTAAATTATTGACTTAGGCAGCAGCTTGGATATTAGTTATTTGTATTAAAACGGTGGCAACACGTTTTATACGGTTTACATTATTTTTTCCCCAAATTCCCAAATTCGGTGTTAAATCGCGATCTAACGCGTAATTTTTTTTTTTTTTAAACTCTCACTTTTTACACTTAATAAAATTAAATTCACATGTTAACGTACAAAACTTGATTAATTTGACGCACACACAAAAAAAGGTCGATTAAAAATGAATTTTATTAAAATAGTAAAATAAACCGATATAAAAAATAATAATAATAAGAAAGAAAAAGGAAATAAAATAAAATAATAATAAAAAAAGAAAAAAAGAAAAATGAAACATAACATAAATATATAAGAGTTTTTTTCGAAGAAAAAAAAAAATAAGTTCAATATCGATAAAAAAAAATTACGAAGTTAATCTGTTAATAACAAATCTGTTAATAACAGATGAAAAAGTGCAACGAAAACGTAGAAGAAGTAAATTTAAATAAATTAAAAGAAGAATTTAGAGATTTTTTTTTTTTTTTGCTATCTTAATTATATAGTGTATATATCTTTTGTTATAATAAATCTTAGGGGATTTAAAAAAAAAAAATTGGTGGCTTTTTTTTGTATATCTTTTTAAAATTAAGTCTTAAAGTACCTTCCAAAGTTCTGATCTTATCCGATCTTAAAAAAAAAATAAGAGAAGAGAAATTTATATTTGCTGCAAAAAAAAAAAAAAGAATGTAATAGTTGGTAAAGGTTCGCAGAAAATGAATTGGCTAATTAAAGTTTTTTGTAAAAAACGTTAATTAAAGTTTTTTGTAAAAAACGTTAATTAAAGTTTTTGTCCAAAACCGGAAAAAACGTTAATCCGAGAGTCATACTTTTCACATTCCTCGATCAGGTAAAGAAGGTCATCTTCCCGTGCATCAATTGATGCAATAAAAGATTTTATTATATCCACCGTAAATTCCCCCACGGTGCTTCCTTTACCCAGGGGTATAGCAACATTTTTTTGGGTTACATTGACAAAACCCTGTTCTGTCAATAATTTTTCTATGTGATCGTTTCCCACGCGGATACCGGTCAATCTTTCTAACAAAGGACTTGAATTATAATCTGAGTCCCAAAATTCTATGTATCCGCCTTTTTTAGTCACTCTAAAGACCTCTGAGAGCAAAAATAAAATTGGGTCCAAGGTTGATAAGGATCGAAGGTGCATCATGTCAAGCCGTACCATATCAAAGAAATTATCTTGATATGGCAGTCCTTTTAAATAATCTCCTTGGCCGAAAAAGCAGTTTCTTGGGTATACCAAGTCTGGCGCACTTGATTCAAGGTCTATACCAAAGAACTGGGTATTTGGAAAATCCCTATAATGTGAAAAAAATGAATAATATTTGTTAAAAAATGTTTGTGCTTTAAAAAAGGAAAAAACCAAAATTTATAAATAATGTACTTACGTTGCCATCTCCATCATCCAATATCCAGATGAATAACTAATAAAATTTTGGAAATGATCGAGCGAAAGAATTAGTAAAATAATAATTTATATATAATTATATATTAATTACATCATTCAATTACTTACGCAATTTCTAAAACTCTTTCCATGGATTTATCAACGGGACAGGAGAAGTTACCGTTTAAAATACTTTTACGTACATAATGCTATAATAAAAAAAAGATGGTTAGGTGATTTAAATCATTATTGTACTAATAAAAAATTTATTACATTTTGAACTAAATACTTACATATAATAAATCTCGATCGACCTAAAATTATTCGAGGAAAAAAAAAATAAATAAAATAAAATGAGCCGAAAATGAAAATAAATTATTTCGAAAACTTTATTATATGTTTATACAAAAAAACAAAAAAAAAAAAAAAAAAAAAAAATATAATTATTTACTGTACTTATTTTGCTAATTGTTGTGTAACCTTTACCCCCACATACACACATAGAAAAAATTTTTATAATGCATTTATTTACAATAGTAAAAAAAAAAAAAGTGATATCATGTGTGACACAAGGACAAGCACACATGGAAGGAAGCTTATTGTTTTTTATATATTATTATTATATTTCTAAGATATCGCGGTTTTTAAACCGCGATAATTATATGCCAACATTTGATAGGTTCTTCAAAAGTTGGGAAAAAAAAATTCCCAATGAAAGTAATTTTGTCATTCAATGAACTTTTGGTGAAATAGGTTTACTTTTTTTATTTTTAATTTTTTTTTTTTTTTTTTTTTTTTTTTTTTTTTTTTTTTTTTTTTTTTTTTTTTTTTTTTTTTTTTTTTTTTTTTTTTTTTTTTTTTTTTTTTTTTTTTTTTT